CCCCCCCCTTTTATGAAAATTCTCAGACAACCCTATTCCACTCTCACCTCAGCAAACCTTACTCCACTCTCACCCCAGCCAACACACTCTCACCCCAGCCAATCCTATTCTACTCTCACCTCAGCAAACCTTACTCCACTCTCACCCCAGCCAACCCTATTCCACTCTCACCCCAGCCAACACACTCTCACCCCAGCCAATCCTATTCCACTCTCACCTTAGCAAACCTTACTACACTCTCACCCCAGCCAATCCTATTCAACTCTCACCCCAGCCAACACACTCTCTCCTGGCCAACCCTATTCCATCCTCACCCCAGCTAACCCTATTCCACTCTCACCCTGGCCCAACCTATTCTACTCTCACCCCAACCAACCCTATTCCACACTCACCAAGCCAACCCTATTCCACTCCTACACACTCTCAAGCTTAATAATGTAAACTAGTGACCAACATAAAACTTACATTTCAATTATCAACACTTCAACTTAAAGAAATTATTTATCTTATTTCTAAAGCAGCCACAATCATTTCAATAGTTTAGTTTAAATACTTACTAGCAGCCACAACCATTTCGATAGTTTAGTTTAAATACTTACTTACTACAAGTCATATATACAAAGTCACATGACAGCCAAGAATACATAGACTCTGAGAAATTCAGAGATAAGAATCTAAGTTTAACAAGAAAAAACATGTACTTGAGCCAAGTGCAGTTTCCCAGCTGTGGGGGGACTTGAGTGATGTCATTGTTCTGCAGATCCAGTGTGCCCAGTTTGGTCAGCTTACTAAAGCCTACATGATCCAGCTCTGTAATTTTATTGTCACTGACAAACAGGATCTCTAGTTTGCTGAGTTCGTACACGACGGCTGGGATTTCGAGGAATCTGGGATAGAAGAAGCAGTACGTGGGAATTGTAAATATGGGGTGACGAGCATGAATGGTAAACATGTGAAGACAATCATGAGTGATAAACATGGGGAGACAATCATGAATGGTAAATATGGGTAGACAATCATGAATGGAAAACTTGGGGAGTCAATCATGAATGATACACACGGGGAAACAATCATGAATGGTAAACATGGGGAGACAATATGAATGGTAAACTTGGGGAGTCAATCATGAATGGTAAACATGGGGAGACAATCATGAATGGTAAACATGGGGAGACAATCTTAGGTATGATAAACATGGGGAGACAATCATGGGTGACCAACATGGGGAGTCAATCTTAAGTGGTTAACATGGGGAGACAACGGGAAGGCTTAAAATGTTTTATGGACCAGACTCTGACCTCTAGACAAAGGTAACCCAATCCAGTAACTCAGAGATAACTTGTCCGTAAAATAGATCCCAGGGGGAACACAGAGATGAGGCTGTAGACTAGATATGTTACTTTATTTTGCATTCTGCCTCCCTGGCGGTTTTAGAATAATCAATAGCTGGTTATTTTTATTAGGTTATCTATCCTATTTTAGCATATTGGTTAAGGTTGGCTAGAGTTGTTTTTTTTCTCATATAGAGACACATTGTTATAGGGTTATGAAAGGGGAATGCTATTTTCAGATTGCATATTTTTAAAGACATAAATGTGTGTTAGTGTGTTAGATACCTATTCTAAAAAAACTTTTTAAAATTATTATCTTTTATTTTTACAAATCTATTATGATTAAACTAGGACCCAATGTTACCAGGATAATAATGGAAAGCTTTTTGCGATACTTTCTCCCTACTATTGCAAAATCTCAACATCTAACCATCAAATTTTTACGTATATAACTGAATTTGGTGTTTTATATCCTTAGTACAACTATATTTCACGCCCTTGAAATGTATATTTTGGAAATAGTTAATCACACTTTCTTTATTTAAAAAAAATAAATATCTATGTATTGATGTTTACGTTTCTAACATAATTTAGTTTTGAGAAATATTTATCAGCAATATATTATAGGCCTATTATAGGCCCACCTCACCCTCTTTCATGCATCTGAAGTACAACATTTTTTTTTTTTAAATTCAATAAAACTGTAAAAATATGTCCTTTTATTTTACAACAAAAACCTATACACCATTTTAAATATCTTTAACACTAACATAGTTTAATATATTGGTATTTTTTAATGAAAAATTTAGCCAAATTTTTGCCTCGCTTCTCTACTATATTATAAGGAAATCGTAAAACACAGAATTCTTACATCTAAAGTAGAATCTCTTAACCATGTTAATGTTTTTTAACAGCAAAGGTTTTCTTTAGAAATATTATTAATCACATAAAAATTTACACCCACTTCTCTTATGAAATTTTTTTTCTCGCAAAGAGGAAACAAAAATATATTTTCCCCATATGGGAAGGAAATGTTCACGCCCCTGAACTGCAAAGGCAAAAAAAAAAAAAAAAAAAAGCTCTATTTTTAAGATGAAATTTTCACTTGTGTAAAATAATCGAGTTTTGATATATTTTTATCCACATAAAATTGTACCCACTCTCTTTCTTTCTCACATGAAAAGTAATTTCACAAAATTTTTACAACAAATTATTCAAATATAAAGATATTGTCCCTGCCCATAAATATGTGCCCACCCCTTATCCTTACCCTTGAGAGGTAAATTTGGACAAGTAGGAAAACCTCAATTTCCTAGAAAATAAAATTGCATCCACTATTTTAACCCCTTCCTACTTTTTTTGAAGTGCGTGTTGTATATTTATGTCAATGTACCCACTGTTTTGTCAATGCCCTTGAACTCAATTTTCTTAAATTGGTATAGACTGACACATATTGTTGTATTCTAATAGAAAATCTAAGATTTCATTTTCAGGACTGTAATATCATCAGATTAAAAGTAATATTCATCCACATTATAATATACACATCATCTTTACTTCACTTGAAATGTATTTTTAGAAGAAGGTTAAATACATTATTTCAAAAGTTTTAAAATTACTTATATAACAATTCCCATCGTGTAACATATTTCAGCTTTGAGATATAAATATACCGGTACTTAACAAAAACACCCAGCCACACTATAGCATAATTTGTGCTGTCTGGGGCACCCAGCCATAGTTTGGCTTAATTTGTGCTGTCTTGGGCAACCAGCCATAGTTTGGCATAATTTGTTCTGTCTAGGGCACTCAAACATAGTGTGGCATAATTTGTGCTGAACCCAGCCATATTTGGGTACAATTTGTGCTGTTCGGGGCACCCAGCCATACTGTGGTGTAATTTGCATTGTCTGGGGCGAAATTGAAAACTCCCATCCCCATCCCCCTACACACAAATAGTTTATTCAGTTTTTTTAATAAACATAAACAAAAGTAGCCCAGGGATTTTAACACCCCTAATTTGTCACTTCACACTTTTTGCAACTAAATAAACATTATAATGACCCACTCTAGTTTTACCACACAATGTACTTTAGTTTTTAAAAAAATATTAACATTTCATTGTTTCTTGTCAAATATTTTAATAAATATTCTTATTTATTTTTAAATGAGAGAAAATAATTCATTTCATTGTGTGCCCCACATTTCTTGTTTTATTTGCTATTGAATTTAAGAACAGAAAATGGTAAAACTCACAGATCACAAATTTATTTTAAATATCTATAAATCAATATTCAAGTCTGGATTGTTTGGTTGGTTTTTGAGACACCCAGCCATGTTTGGTTATGATGGAAACAACTTTTGCCTATAAAAATGTAACATTAGTAATATGTAGAGCAGAGCAAAGATTATCAATCTCCTTTAATACAGTATCTCAACTCTCATATTTGGATTCACTTAAAATGATTCTTTAATTTTTATATTAAATCTATTTCTAATGTGTAATAATACTTACATATTATTAAAGGTAACATAACTTTGCATAAAAGCAGATATATTTGATTTCATTTCCCCCAAAATAATACAAAAATGACTATTATTGTTTTGAAGTATCCAGCGTTACATGGTCACATTAGCTCCTTCTTTTATAAATGAGAGAACAATTTCATTATCCCCAAAGACTAACCAAAAAAAAAAAATTGAAGAATTTGTTTTAAAAAATTTTCATTTTCAAATGCACTTAAAACCTATAAAAAAACAGACAGTCAATACTAATATCTCAGCTTTACTTTGTTCACTTCAAGTTAATGACTCTTTAAGTTTCCAATAAAAACCCTGGAGCTGATTAAGCAGCAGTTATTAGTTGTCTTTACATTTGAGCCGCCCTATTTACATTTCATATCAAGAAATTTAAAAAAATAAAGTTTCATTTGACTTTTCCTCTCGTACCCCCCATTTTTTTTTTTTAGTGTGTGATAGAAATGTAGGCCAGTCATCCAAGTGTTTGCACAACCCCCAGCTCCACTCACATGCCAATCAATAATTGTTAATTTAGTTTGTGGATGATTGAGAACAAAGGCCAATAATAATTATCCACAGTGTCACATTTCCCATTCAGAAAAATAATACATCCTTTTAATAATACAGTTCCGCCAATTATTATCTTCATGTTTAAAAAAATCTGGACCAAAAAGAAAAAATAGCCAGCCGCACTTGCATCAGATCCATGCATTTAAACAGCATGATAGTTTTTCACAGTGAGCTTTGGTGAGAAATATACAGGCTGTGTTGTTGGCCAAAATTTCTGTTTTGATTGGTACATGATCAAAATCTGCACAAAACACTTGGATGTTTTGGGCACACACACACACTTGAATAGTTTGCTCAGCCCTGTTAACATGATCTAATTTGTTGCATGAATCTCTAACAAATCCCTTGGAAATCCCAGTCTTGTAATGGGCCACCAACATGCACTGATTACATGAACTTCTAACAAATCCCTTGGAAATCACAGACGTTTAATGGGCCACCAACATGCACTGATTACATGAACTTCTAACAAATCCCTTTGAAATCACAGACGTTTAATGGGCCACCAACATGCACTGATTACATGAACTTCTAACAAATCCCTGGGAAATCACAGACGTGTAATAATCTGAAATTAGTGAATTAAATCTGCCTGAAAATTAAACCCTGGAAACTAATTTGTAAACTTAAAATGCTCTTCAATTTAACAATGTACCTGTTGTTGGACAGTATAAGTTCCCTCAAGCATTTCAGAGAAGCCAATTGAGGTGGCAGGCTGGACAACTGGTTGTTTCTGTAATAGAAATTATTCATCTATGAGACATTGTCATGGTTCTAGTGATGTGAATAGAAGATGTAAAAACAAAAAATCATGAAGCTGAGAAACTTCTCAAGCAGAGACTCCAACTTAACAAATTAACCTTCCTGTTTTCAGGACCAGGGTTATCGGGGTTGGAGATGTTCAGATCACCAGAGACAATAGAGGCCACATACACATATTGAAAACATTTGATAAACGCATGTGTTAAATTTTTTTAACAAGCTATCTCATCTTAGGTAAGGAGTTGGAAAATTTTATCTGCTCAGAAAACATTTTGGGAGGCGCAGACATCCACGATTCTTTAAATTGCATTGGAGGTAAGAGAGAGAAAAAAAAGAGCTGCACCTTTTCCTTCAATCTATTCCGCAGGTTGCCGCCATAATCTAGATATAATCTCTATTTAGCTCTAATGTCAAACAATAGTGCAACTTATTTCCTTGACTTTGAATTAAGAATTTGTAAATATATAAATCTTTTCGCTCACCAAATCAATGAAAATCTCAATCAGAGCTACGGATATAACTTCTCACCTGAGGTCCAACATGAAGAGTTTAGTAAAACGTTCTGTGCTCGGAGAGAGTTGGCTGATTTTGTTAAATCCCAGGTTGATCTCGGTCAGTGTTGGCGCAAGGGCCAGCAGCCTGCATTTGAGAAATTACAGATGTGACAAATTACAGATGTGACTGATACCTCACACATATGGACACATTTTGTAACAAAAACGAGTCCTGTAAAAGGTTTTGGAAGGCAATAAGGCTGAGGAAGAAAACAATCATATTAACCTTGTTGTAGACACTAGCAAAACTAAAAAAAGTGTAAATAGATCAGCCACCCTTGAGGTTTGCTGCGTTATCTTGACATTAAGGATAGGGCGATGGCAGATGATGTCATACACCAGAAAACAGATTACAGCAACCATAGCACGAAAACCTTTTATCCCTCTTGAGACGGCCGGGCTGATCTATTGGCCCAGAATGTTATGGGTAAATGCCTACAAATTGTGACCTTGAAATATGCCAAATGGCTTAAGCAGTACAAGAAGAATATTTTAAATTATGCAATTCAGGATATCTCATTTTGTTTAAATATTGAGATTTCAGCTTGATTTACAAAGATTGTATCAGTTCATTCCATTCCCTAACAGGATATATATATTTTATACTTGTACGGTAATTATTATTTTTATAAATTTTTTCTTGCAAACTTAGTGCAGGGCTTGTGAAAAGGGCTCCATCTTCTTGGCACCAACAGTCCAAAAAGATTCTGTCTCAAGAGGGGTTTTTTTTTGCTGGTATCCAATGTGACGATGGAGTGGGCTTCGGAGGACGAAATCCACATGGCCTGGGATTATTCTTCAAGGATTATAAGCTGGTTCCCAACAGCAAATCGCCTCTCTCCACGCCGCTGGATAACCCAAGGGAACATCATTGGATGATACAGCTTGGCACCAGTGACGTCGCATCAGTTGTCGGAATGTTTCATTGTACCAACGTTATCCGCCTTTCGGGACTCCATTACCGGGTTTGATTTCAGAGTTGTACCCTCAAGAGGGTTAAACGACTGACTATCATGCAGGTCAAAAAAAGTAATATTCAGTCAGACTTACCCACTGGGTAAATCAGGTAGGAGATTTTTACTCAGGTTGATCACCCTGATCCCTGCCTCCACAGCAACCTTGATGATGTCTTCAGGGACGGAAGCCACTTTTTTATTACTACAAAAAAAATATTTAAAGCAATCAATTTATAAATTTTTCACCAAGCAAGGATTTTCGTAAAAGGGAGACAAATATTAATGTAACAACTATTTTATCCGTTACATTTCTTCAAAATCTAAAAATGAAAACCTATCAAAAAACTAAAAATGTTCACTCATTCTATTTATTATTTTACTAACTAACCAAAATTAATTTGAAATGAATTTTCGGTCTTTCAAATGGTATTGTTTTATTTAAATAATGGCGCACTTTAATTGAGTAAGGCTCAACCACAAAACGAATTCAATGGAGCTTAATTTTTAAGGGGAACTAAGTGATTTCCTGATCAGAGATGTGTTGACACAGCATTAAACTGTGACAACCTAACCCCGAGGATTTGCTTCTTTTCTTGTCTACCATCACAACATGACAAATCATCAAAAATATAACTTAATTTTTGTTTGAGAATAGAAAAAGCTTCTAAACAAAGTCTGCCAAGATGCACCAACCTGAAATCTAATGACTTCATCTGGTGTAAATCATGCTGGCTGATGACATCGTCTGCCACACCAGGCATGGGTACTGCACTGGCTGAAACCTGGCTATCGGGACCCTCGTTCTCCTCATCTTTTAGACGACTCAGTAAATATTTCTTCAGCTCAGCTGTACCCCTCTGTAAGATTTCAGATTTTTATTTTTATATATTTTTATGTTAATCACGGCCATAATTTATTTGAAAAATGTACCCTTGCTTCATCAGTTCTTGAGAAATTATTTCATACATGAGGACATAGTATATTAGGCCAAGAAAGAGCGTTCAAATATACATTTGAATCTTGATTGAAGTTAAACTGTAAAAGTTTGTGATTCTGAAATATTTATATGAAAGGTTTATAAAATTTTTGTGCACATATATATATGTATAAACGAAAGAAAAAATTGTAGCAAGTTTTAAGACAAGGTTTCTTATATATTATATTAAATTAAATCAACAAGAGCAAAAGATTCAAGCTGTTCCTAACACCTGCATTTTGCCTGCCCATCACTGTTTGGCAATTATATCTCAGTCGACATGCACAGTGAATATTAACAGAGGAGAATGCACCTTAGCTGCTTACAGGATGAATCAAGGGTGGAAAGACTATGGTTTGTGAGCCAATTGTGGCTTGTGCCTTCATATAAATGGTACTTTAGACAATTTTTAAATTTCATAAAAATAGAAGAGAAAAAAAAATGTATTTTAAATTTTTGATTGTAGATGTGACTATGGTGGAGTTGTTCCACTTTTTTGGTGAAACTCCAATTTTCTGAGGTTATACATTTTCTTCTTGTTGTGGAGTTTTTTACTTTAATAACAAATTTCCTAAGATTCTCATAAGATCCCCCTTCGCTTTCACCATTTTTTGGCTCCCATACATCTGTTGCCTCTTGAATATGGCTAGCAGCTACAAATGTTTGCTCCCCTTTGGGATAAATGGTTAAGAGGACCACTGATCTTAAATGCTTACCATCACAATATCTCTTCTAATAGAACGCATAGGGTTACCATCTAAGATTATTGCTTTCAGAGCTGTCATGCATCCCATCTTGTAAGGTAGCCTGCAGGTGGTTAAAATTTTCTTTATACACCAACAGTAGTAATAGTATAAAAATTAATCCTATTTCCAAATGGTGTTAAATTATATTACAAAAATAACCACTTAATTTACATAAATCAATTAAAAATATTATCTCTTTTTATTTTAGTGACCATTTTAAGTCTGTCAAATCAAGTGACGCTGGAAATCCCAAAATAGTACAACAGTCTCAGAATAGTACTTAACCATCTAAAATTGTACAATACCTTATGGTAATAGTAAATAAATAAACACAGTATAGTGTGTAAAATAACTATGGGGTAGTTCACCAATTACGTCATGCAAAAAAGTGACCTTTTTAGACCATCCCCCCCACCCCTCCGTGTCACGTCACACCTAATAAAAATAAAAAAAAACATACATAAAATTTTCATAACAAAACTAAGAGTTTATGGTAATCTATCACTTTGACGTCGGCCAAGGAAAAAGCCTGTTGTTTCAGTTGGAAGTGCTATTTAAACAATTATTCTTTTATCAATAGGCTCCAAAACGATGGAAATGTTTTTTTATGACATGGTATACATTCATCTCAGCACATATATAATACAAATAATACAAGACATATTTTTTAAAATAGAAAAACTGAAAAAATTGTAAACTTAAAAAAAATGAAGAATTAAAAAAATGTAGCGTATGACAATGACATTATTCATAGTTCTCCCCCTAAGTGACAATGAAGCTGTTTAAAATATCATTTCCATGAAAACAGTTGCGGAACATGAACTTGAGTAAATAGAAAGGGGAAAGGCTCATGGCTAGTGCAAGCTGTCTTTTCAGTTTGCGCACATCCATTATCAGCACTATTGTGGTCTCACCTCTTTTTCTTCCTGTCATATAAGTAGCTTAGTAATATTTATCTAAATGTATTCTGCTACATAACTTTAAACGAAAGTGGAACTATTAACGGGCATCACTATAAGAATACTTGTTTAAATAGCACTTCAGATTACTTAAAACCGGAACAACTGGCTTTTTTTTCTGGGCCCGACGCTCAAGTGGTAGATTGCCGATCTTATTATATTCTTTAACATTTTCCCATAATGATAATGGATTAAGATGTAACATTATTAGAAATCTAAGACACGAAACATTGAAGTCATCCCCAAGCTGAATATAAAATGGCCACAACAGTTTTTGCGCAAAAGGTGTGCGGGACTGAGGTTCACGTTACCTATAATACCTGAGGCAATTTCGACCTCAAACTAATGTTGTTAAAATTAATTGAATAAAGATTTTAAAAAATTAGAAAAGTTTAGATTTAAACAAAAATAATGTGAGACCTCACAAATTTTTAGCCCCCCCCCCCCGGTCACAAATTCTCTACCCTCCCCCACCCCTCCGGTCACAAATTCTCTACCCTCCCTCCCCAACGTGACGTAATTGGCGAACAACCCTTATTCACATCACAAGTCAAATTTAGGTCACTTCTCAAAGTTTGAGAAGAATGCCATTTATATATTTATATACAGTGCACTATTGCAAATAAAAAGGTGCCTGTCATTTGCCGCTTTTATATATGAAGATATAGTCGGAGAGCAGATAATAAGGACACCAGTTGAAGTCACCAGAGCAAAAGTGGAGCTCGTGAGGAAGCTGAGCCCCTTCCCAGAAATTTGCTTATTAATTCAAAATACAAGGATGCACTTTTGTGTACACCTGTGTATAGTTTTGCACCATTCTACACAATTTAGCCCTACAAGACACTGGGAAACTGATTTAAAATTTGAGTAGGTTGCTGAAATTCATTTCATGGCCATTCAAACTATTTTGACTGATTAGTGTTGTTATAATTAAGCTCCTTTTTAAAAAATATTTTATTTAAAATGAAACCTAGCTTTTCTTACTTTCTTATTTCATCTCCTATATGAGTGATATGTAATCCTGTTTGGTTAACTAAAAAGCAGTTACAGAGTTTTAAACTAGTCACAGAAAGATGTAGGAAGAAAAGTAGAAAAGGGAACCTGAGATAGTTTGATCACATTGCCTCACACCCCAGCACAACAGGCACCATCAGAGCACTTGAAAAAAAAAAAAAAAAAAAAGAACAAATGCAATGCAGCTCCTCAAACATCACGACCAGAACTCTCAAATCAAATTTCTCTCACCAGGCATCAAGTTAGCTGGCCACAGCACCCCATACTGAGACCCCAACTTACACACTAATGTCATTGTTGGTAAGGTCCAGCCTCTCTAGCTTTTCCAGCAATGTGATCTCATCAGGAAGTTTGACCAGCTTGTTGTCTCGCAGATCCAGGGACGTAAGGGAGGTCAGGTGGTGTAAATGTTCCTCCGTCAGCCCTCGGATGCTATTATTTCCAACTAAAATTTCCTGGTGGAATAAATTGGAATGTTTCTGATCCAACAAAAGTACCTCACAAAAAATTATTCATTACGTAATGAATAGTAATATTAATAATTAAAATGGCAAAGAGATTTTTGTTACAGTAACGAGTGCTAACCCTACTGCTACTTTAAGATTAATGAAGTGGCATTGAAGAGACGATTATGACTGGCACATTTATAAAGACATGCTTAGTCATGTGCCCACAAATGGCTTGTTAAATTTTAATTATTCTACCAACCCAGTTTTTAATAAAGAACAACATAGAATTACACAAATAAAAAAAGATGTATCTCCTTTTATAAAACTGACAAGTACCCAACCAGTTGTGCTTTTTTTTATTCGACTATAAAGTCGGAGCCTACAGGCCACTGGATTTAAGACTGGTACAGTTACAAAGCAAACCAAGGAACAGACCTTGAGGTTTGTACAATGGTGCAGCACAGGGAGATACTGTAACTGATTGTGCCTTAGGAAAAGCTGCTCTAGGTGAAGTAAATTTCCAAACTCGTCGGGTAGTGACTGCAGCTGGTTGTGGGTGGCATCAAACATGCGTAGCGCTGGAGGAAAATAATTGTTGAGGCATAAAACATAGAACATGATGGAAAAAATTACAGTGGAAACCAGCCAATATGTGCACCACTATAACAGATTCTGAATTTATGGAACATGACTATTCAATTATAATGAGGTTTCACTGTTTGTATAATTTCATAACAAGCTGCAGTTTCCAAGCAGAATGTCTAGAAATAAGAAATGGGCCAATGATGCCATGAATATGTTAAACATTACCTGAATTTTAACTATGATTTTTTTTATTTTTACTGAACATAGGATTCTCTTTATGAATCTTCATGATTCAGTGGCAATTCGGGCATGAGGCCTTCGGCCATTGTGACAAATATTGCAAACTAGGGCTTAACCGGGTGCAGTTTTTTACACTGTGTCCAGATATTTTGAGAAAAAACCCAGTGGATCCAGGTGTTACAAAAAAAAGAGTCAACTTCTAATTTTCAGGAATATGCAACGAAATCTATTGCCCTATGTCATAATGAGAGTGCATTGCCTTCGTCAACTGTTTGTGTCAAGAAATAACCCACCGATAGGAACAGGCAGTTGCCGGATCCCAGAATGGAGATGACATTAAACAAAAACCTATCGGCAGAGAAGATACCGTCATTCATTTTGTAACAAAGACGTACAAAACAAATACCTTCCTGTGTTTATAAGGCCCATGACCCAATTCTGAGGGGCATGCAGCCCCAGAACAAAGATGTGAAAAAAAAACAGTGACATTTTAAAAAAAAACAATCCTTTCCAGAGTAAATATCAACCGATTGACCAGAGTTCAGACGTGACGCTGTGTGACAGAGGAACACGTGACGCTGTGTGACAGAGGAACAGAGGTCAGACGTGACGCTGTGTGACAGAGGAACAGAGGTCAGACATGACGCTGTGTGACAGAGGAACAGAGGTCAGGCGTGACGCTGTGTGACAGAGGAACAGAGGTCAGACGTGACTCTGTGTGACAGAGGAACAGAGTTCAGACGTGACGCTGTGTGACAGAGGAACAGAGGTCAGACGTGACGCTGTGTGACAGAGGAACAGAGTTCAGACGTGACGCTGTGTGACCGAGGAACAGAGGTCAGACGTGACGCTGTGTGACCGAGGAACACGACCAATAACTACACCCAATAATATTCAACTTCCCCTAAAGATAAAACTATTTACCAGAGTTCAGCATGAAGCTCGCTGTGTGACAGCATTTATTTCACTCAGCTCTATTAATATGAAACGTGGACGCACCAGAAGCAAAATAGATACATACGAGATGTTAGGTTTTTTTCTCTTTGAAATAACATCAAATATAACAGGCTGGCAGTTTCTCATGAGCCAGAGCTGGTGTTCATAAGTTTAATGGGCATACAGCGCTTTTATAATGTGACATGATCACACCACAAGGATCTGAAAACATGAGACCACCTGCTGTCGGAGATTTACCTGTTAGATCACCAATGTCAGGCGGCAGGTGAGTCAGTTTGTTGTTGGCAACGTTCAGGTGTCTCAACTGAGACATCAGCCTGATGGAGTTTGGAAGGGAATGGATCTGATTGTTGGAGACATCCTAAGCGAAAAAAAAAAAGGGGGGGACTTTCATTACAACTTTGCATGTCATTTGAGATAGTTTTATCACACTGCCTCCCTCCCCATCCCAGCACAACAGGCACCATCATAGCACTTTTTTGTGTTTTAAAGTTTTTTTACACTTAAACGTTTTCATATTGTTTCTGTTATTAAACAAATTCTCACGTCGCCTTTGCCAGATCAATAACAAACTGTTAATTTATTTTTTGCGATTGTAAGTTTTAAAAATTGAACTGCACATCATAATAATATGAACAACCAGGCTATACATTATTCAACAACAGTTGCGATCAGTCATTTTGTTAAGCCAGCGGTTCTCAACCTGTTGGTTGCGACCCCTTTGGGGGTCAAACGAACTACCCTTTCCCAGAGGTCGCCTAAGACCATCGGAAAACACAAATACTCTACAGTTATGAAGTATCAATGAAAATAATTTTTTCCTGTGGTTGGGGGTCGCGGCATTATGCAGGTTGAGAACCACTGTGTTAAGCAATTACCAGAAATTCCAACTTTCTAAGACTACAGATATCTGCACAGATTTCTAAGAGCTGATTATTTTCCAGGTGAAGACTTGTCAGGTTACTCAAGAATCCAATCTGGATGGGAATCTCTTTCAGCTGGTTTCGGCTGTTGGATGGAGAAATAAGTAAACATCAGTGGAACAGATCCTGCTCTTTCCTCTCACAGTTTTCGTGGGGGTGGCTTACTAATCAAATATGAACACAAATCACATTTAAGACAATCTGTCTTAGAGGAATCCCAATGAGACAATGCACAGGTCAGGTTATTTAGGTTATGGGCTAAGTCATTGGGCAAGCCAAATACAAATTTACCTAATGTCAAGTTTTTGAAGGTTTTCCAGATGCTTGATGCCAGCTGGTAGACTTGTCAGTTGATTGTCGTGAATCTTGAAGAAAAAGGGCACTCACTCATTGTCCATTACCAGATATAAGTTACTGAACAGTGTAAATTCATTTTCCCCTATTCTATTTAATATTATTGTTAAATTTTCATTTTTTAAAATATTATTGCTTACCCATCAGTACGAAATGAAAACCTTTCATTGCTTTTACTTTTAAACTTTATTCAATTTTTTTACATCAGAATTTTTTCAGTTGCAAACAAGCAAGACCTTAGACTTTACATTAAATTTCTAAGTTGGGTTACCAATTACTGACACATCAATGTATGCACACACAACAAATAGCTTAGAGAAGGACATTTCTAAGTTGTATGCATATTCAACAAAACTTGACAGAACTTATAGCTAAAAAAATTGACTTTTTGATCAACTGAGATAGAAATCACATGAACCAATCCTCACATCCAGAACTGTTAGTGCTTGCAAGTTGCTGAGGCCTTCACCCAAAGATGAGAGGTGGTTGGAAGCTAGAATAAGCTTGGTTAGGTCAACAGTGTCCCACCATTTGTCATCCGCATTATCCATGGAAACACTTTTAGCTTCCTCAGGAACCATTTCCTGGATCTTCCACACAGCATCTGGAACTGGTAAATAGGGTAAAATAGTTAAAAATTAAAAAAAAAAAATTTGGTGAAATTTCATTGTTTTTTTGTAGGAGTTTATTATTGTTGAAATGAGAATTATATAGGACTATTACTTGTCATAATTGTACCTGTCAACATAAAATCCATTCACAGATCAATCACACCCATAGAGAAACCCCAACAAGCACAAAAGTGATAAATCTTAAGAAGAAAAAAAAACACTTAGGCCCACTGAAAAACAAATCACAGGGCCCTATCAAAAAGAGTTGACAGTTCCTGTATTACATTTTATTATCTTGTATATCTAAATATATTTGACATAGCAAATTGGAAGTCTCCAAAAGAATGAAGGGTGAGCATCCTCAGAGATTCAACAGAAAAACTTTCACTTTACTGCTTTTATTTTGTAAATTATTTGATATATTTAAACAATAACAGAATGATTTTCTCAAAACAACCCTTGTAAAGTTAACATTTTCAAAGGGAAACAGATTTAAAATTGCTAAAACAAAAACAATTCAGATTTTTAAAAATCTTTTTCAAACAATTTTATCATTTAAATTTAAGCTACCTGTCGTGAGACCTCTTTGACTGAGGTTGAGAACTCCTGATTTCCGAGCCTGCTTGAGGATAGATGGGTGTATGCTGCCCAATGGCTGTTCTGTCAGGTGTGTTGACTCTGAAAATCCACCTTTTGTGGCCACTTGTCGTTTTGCAAATCGAGACATAGCTGTTTTTACCTCTCTCACAATGGTAATTTCACCAAAGTAGAAAAAAAAACCTAATAATAATTCATAAAGAAATTTTTAATTTTAGAAAAGTAATATTGTTATTATTGTTAATATTTTATTTTAACAAATGAATATAAAAAAACCCACCAAAGACTGTTCAATAGATCTAGGGCAGCATATAGTTATAGCCTTTAGGTCAGGATTTCACAAACTTTTCTATATTCTGCATACCCTATCATACTCTATGAATTTTTTAACTAAGTCTCACATCCCATAAGAATTTTTCGACTAAGACTCGCACCCCTTTAACTTTGAAATTAATAATGCATTTTATATATCAGAAAATAAGGACATCTAATTTTCGCATATAATTTTAAAGAGAAATTAAGAATTAAAAAAAATAATGAATGTGTTACTTATTATTTCATATTCATATTGTCAATGTAGTTTAAATAGTAATATATCAGTTTATAGGGCAGGGCATGAGAGACAGCGATAAAGCCAAAGACCAAGCCGCGTGAAGTAAATTGTCAATAAATAATGTCATAGTCATACCTAAATAAAAATAGATAATTTATATGCTTCTAGTCTCAATAGTCTTCTTAGTCTTCTTCTTGGTCCTACTCAATGCAGAGCCTAGGAGTAGCCTACTCCTAAGCTCTGCATATCTTGCGCCACTATTATTTATTTAAATTCATACTAAAGTAAGAGTAAAATTTTAGTTTTTAAAAGTCAATGGCTCCTCTGTTCTTATAACTTATGGTATGATTTTTAATCACTACCTTTTTTTATAATAATCTTTCACAACCCTTGTAATGCCACCACACACTTACTTACTAAGTAAGTTAGTTTAGTTAGGCTTAGTTTAGGCAGGAAAACCTACTCTGCCAGCTCTAGGCTAGAGTTAGAGATGAATCAAGAGTACAATGACTTCAATGACACTTTTACCTATTATTTTAGCCTATGTGATGGGCAATAATTGTGATACATCTAATATTTATAAACAATTTTAAATGGGGGAAAGGGTCAATGATATGACTAATCACACATTAATAGTATCAGTATCATTTATACTCAAGTAATAATAGTTTATTATGAGTCATGAGACTAGTGTTAGTGACTAGTTAAGGTAAAGTTCAGTAAGGAAATTAATACTAATAATACTAATCGCTGAATCTAAATTTACTAAGACAAAGTACTAAGAGGAGGCCATGCCATAGCCTGATGCCAACAGCCACAATTAATACTAAAGTGTACAGCACTAACTTTTCTTTTTATTTGATTTTTACAGCCCCCATTGGTACATAGCCGGTAGTTGTAGCGTAAACGATCATTTCGTTGTGCTTTTTATTTTTTTTTCACCTTTTATGCCAGATTGTAATTTTAAAACTAAAACCATGTTTCCAAAAAACGAAACAAGAAATTCAATTTATATCAAATTATATTACAATATTCATTAATAATTAGCGAAAATACAACACTTATTATATCAGAAATATTAGAGAACGTAAATAAAACAACAGTTATTAAATCAGAAATATTGGAGATCTTAAATTAAACAACAGTTTAATATGTCATGTCATTTGAGGTGATTCAATCTGGATAGTTATCTGCGATGACCTTCAAGAATGTCACAATCATATCTTGGTCACGGATCTTGTTTTGGAACACAAATTCATGTAGATATGACTGGAAAAGTTCATGGGATGTTCCAAACTGACGAAGTTTGCACTTCGCTCGCACCCACATGTTCACCATGTTTTCGGTGTGAACATCGTTATCAGCAGGATCGACGCCGAAGTTCCGTTGATGGACACTAACGCCCGTGCGAGCAAATACCATTGACGATGGCAGTCAATATGTGCATACGTCGCCCAGCCTTCGGACATGACATGTGCGACCGGGCGAATATATCTTTTAACCAAAGGCTCCATTGTATCAGCAGTGTGGTCGGAAAAATCTCGATTCGAATGCATAGCCCTGTGGTGCAGCGCTCAATTCCGCCACACACCCCGTGGCCATCTCGCCACTGGCCAGTGGCGAACCAGTAGCCATCTCGCCACTGGCTACTTTGATACTTGCGATGAAAATATTTAGACTTGTCAATTCCCACCACTACTTGTAGTCCATTATTGTCAATGTCTCCGATTTGATCTGGATTATTGTCAAGCCCCACGGCACATTCTTCTGTCCCGAAGTTGCACCAATCATTCAGTTCCAATCTTCAACTGTGTAATTTGTTGCAACTACTGGCTCGTGTTTTATTACGGTTTGTGGTATATCATAGTTTCGTGACTGCCTGGCTTATCATATGACCAACAGCAGATCATTATTATAAGTTGTTTCATAGTTAGGTGACGACTGCCCGGCATATCATGTGACCAACAGCAGATCATTATTACAAGTTGTTTCATAGTTAGGTGACTGCCTGGCATATCATGTGACTAACAGTAGATCATTATTATAAGTTGTTTCATAATTAGTTGATTGCCTGGCATATCATATGACCAACAGTAGATCATTATTATAAGTTGATTCATAGTTAGGTGACTGCCTGCAAAAAATGAACGATCTCGTAACAACTTGCGAGTTTTCCATGTTGTACAGTGCCATCTCTTACCGTCCGTACTGCTAGCATGTGCATCAATGCGACATGGTTGACCACAATTGCTACACAGAAGCTAACCACCTTATATAAGCGTCCGTGTCAGTCAGTTCGGGTAGCCATGCCATGTTAAAAGTTTCATGTCTGGCTAGTATTGGAATGATGGTGTGAGCAGGCGTAATCTCCGTGCGAGGTCTACCGGCCACGATGTACGCTGTTCATCCGAATCGTCTCAAAGGTCAATTGCATCGTCTCAACTGACCTCCTTCATTATGTACAGTGTCCCCCGAACCTCTAGCTTATATGGAGGTCTCACCGATACATACGATTAACGACCAAACCATCGTATCCCACGGTTATTGACTTGCTACATTTTTAGAGACAGCATTCTTCGACCAGATCATTTACCCCCGGTCACCTATTTCATGTCTCCTCTACCCACTTAAAACATCTTTAAATAGATTTAGTTTTTTTTCCTATCACTCAAATTTAATTCAAATAACTCTACCCAGAGGCGTAGTGAGGGTGTTTGGCGCCCGGGGACAAGATCCATTTCAAAGCGCCCCCTTTTCTTTTTTTCAACTCTAAAACCCATTATTTTTACCAATAATATAATATCAAAGCACATTTTTGCGCCCCTAAACTAGCTTACGCCCGGGGACATCTGTCGCCCCCCCCGCCCCTCCTCGCCACGCCTATGACTCTACCCAGGGTCTGAAGAACGGGACCCGACCGGGAAATGTAATCCCAAAAGGAGGAGATCCCACCGGGAACAGGATCACATCGATAATTTAAACCAATAAGCTCGCAGCTCACATTAATTGTTAGAGAATCTCTCATTTTCACAGTTCAATACCCGGAGACTTGTTTCCCATTCCATGTGTTTTGTTTCCGGTTCGTCTGCCTTTAAACCAAAAAAAAAAATTCATTACCGGGTCCTGTCACAAATGACCAGGGCTGCACGATCTGGGAACGATAGCTCCCGAGGTACCGGACAAAGGTACAATGGGTGAGGGAGGTGTCGACTCTTACGTTTCATGATGGTACAGGGAAGACATAGCATCGGAAACCAAGTGGACCTCAGGTGGGGGTGTTTGTGAAAAGGGTGTTAGAAGCAACATACTTAATTTTTGCTCCACACACTTTTCTAGCAAAATAAATTCCATTAATTGTAACCAATTTGTATTCTAAGTTTAAAGAGAGGGCCCCATGTGGGGCTCCATTCTTTAAGAAATAATATAATTTATTCTACACACCTGAACTGGAAATTCCCATGAAAAAAATGATACAACGAATTGGGAAACAACAAATACATGTTACAGTATCAGTAACCATTAAAATGTTTGCTAACCGAAGTGTTTTAATAATGTTGTTGCATCAGGTAAAACGGACGTTTTTTTAAAAAATATTAATTTATTTTCCTAAAATAATTAATTGCGCTAAAATAAGGGAATTAACCTAGACTAGGAACAGGGCCCCTGGGCAAAGAAATGCCCTGGGCGAACACTCCACAGTTGTTCAAGAACAAAATTGTGTCAATCCAAATGACGCTGGTGTTCACACCACAGTCTGTTGAAAGCTGAAAATATGTGGCTGCAGGCCAAAGGCAAACGGCAAAGTCAGTTTGGCACAAGCCGCAATACTTTCCTTTCGTACTTGCATGAGTTCATGTCCCGCAATCGTTTTCATGGATGATGACATAAACTCGAACTGTTTTTTTTTTCTTCTCATTCATTAAATTGTTACAATTTTTCTATTTGAAAATTGTTTAAATTGTTCTTTTTTTTAAATTTTGTCTTTTATATAATATGTGCTGAAATGAATCTGGACAATGTCATAAAAAAATATATCCATTTATTTAGATCGATAAAAGAATTGAAATTTATCTTATCAATAAAAAAAAAAATACCCGTTTAAATAGCCCTTTCAACTCGAACAACATGATTTTTGCATAACCGACGCTCAAGTGGTTGAACACCGTTAGGAAATTCATTAGGACCCCAGTTTGACCCACAACCCACTCCTCGGCAGGCAATGTTCTGCACAGCACCATCTCTTCTCCTCTGGTTTTCCGAGCTTAATTTATCGCAAGAGTTCGAGCATCGTTTAGCTACGCAAGTTTACCTGATGTGTATTATAATTAACTTCATTCTCTGGGAATTTTTGTGTTGTTGTTTTGCCCACTCACCTGAACCTAAACAATATCAGAGTCTAGAGTCTAAGAGATCACCCTTAATGTATCCGCATTCTTACTCTCAAAGGGAGCTTCTGGTCAGGGCCGGCGCTAGGAGGGTGCGGGGCCTTAGGCAAATTGAATTTTGCGGGCCATTTGACGTTATACATTCCGCCGATAGGATATTAAGAACCGTTATAGTCGTACTGGGGCCTTGCTAGTCATAATGGGACGCGTCATAACGGATATTCGTTCACTCGCTTAGTTTCCGAAATTTTTAGTATTTTCCTAAAACAGTTATATATACTACGGCAACGCGCGGGGGCCCCGAAAAACCATCCCCTAGCGCCGGCCCTGCTTCTGGTAGAGTGATAAAACTTGGGTGTTGTTTTTTTTCCCGGATTAAAAAAATGACCCTTGACCCTTGATCTCATGTGCAAATAACAAACATGTTAAATTACATAATTGAACAAACCTTTTCGTAGTATTTTATTAGCGGACTGATTATATTTACCAGCCGCACCCAAATCCATTATCTGGAACCGCTACTGATCATGTACAGAACAGAAGAGATCCTGGTTCACTTCTGGGATACATTTAAAGATTTTTCAAAGCAGAGATGTTGATGAAATATCTTCCGCAAAACCCCACCCCCAACTCCTCCACGCCCCCCCACCCACTTTTTATTTCTTCCTGTCATCTATTTCTGCTAAACATTTTGCAGAATTACTAAACTAAACTTGGTTACAGAGCAGACGTCAATTATGTTGCATAAGTCAAAGTGGAAGCAGAGCGAGAGTCCAAACAACTTTGTTTTAGCGATGGTAAGAAGCTTTTTTAACGATCTCAGTTCAACTGTAAGTTCAACTGTAAATTGTGAAATCAACTTCTTCTATTTATTTCATCGAAAAGTATGTGAGATTTACAGTTGCGCAAAAAATTTTGCACCAGCCAAAAAGCACCCAGCAAAGAGCAAGCCAAAAGAAGAAGAAGAAGAAACAAAGACAATGCAAAACAAAAAACTAGCAGCAAGAAAACTTCATTTAGGCCTGGGATCAGTGGCGTCTCTAGGGTTGGTGTCACCTAGTTCGGTATACTCATGGTGTCACCCTCCTTCCCCCTGAATTCTCTTTTGACCTCCTCCGATCCTCACTGCTCTGGTTCTACCATGATCTGATTCAACCTGGTCTGGTGGCTTCGTGATCTGAAGCAACCTGGTCTGATGTCACCGTAATCTGATGCAGCGTGGTGTGGTGGCTCAGTGATCTGATGCAACCTGGTCTGGTGGTTCCGTGATCTGATGCAACTTGGTCCGGTGGTGCCATGATCTGATGCAACCTGGTCTGGGTGTTCCGTGATCTGATGCAACCTGGTCTGGTGGTACCATGATCTGATGCAGCTTGGTCTGGTGGTGCCGTGATCTGAGTCAGCCTGGTCTGGTGGCACCGTGATATGATGCAGGCAGGTCTAGTCCCACCATGATCCGATGCCACCAGCTCTGGTGGCACTTTGTTCTGGTGGCAACCTGATATGATGGCACCTCTCGTGGTATGCTCTT